AGCGTCATTTAAGATGTACCTAGACAGATACATGAATGGGCAGGGAGCAGAGGGATACAGATCCTTGGAAAATAGGCGACAGGTTTAGATAGAGAATCTGGATTGGTGCAGGCTTGGAGGGCCAAAGAGCCTATTCCTGTGCTGTAATTTTCTTTGTTCTTTGTTAAACTGTCTGAAGCTGCTTCTTTGCTTCAAAATTTACCAGTTTCAAACTGTAACTCTTCTCCCTGCAAAATCCATAGATAAATTGAAACTAGAGAACATTCTTGACCTCCGCCCATCTCCACAATGAAGTAGCCTGCTCTGGACTGTCTTCCACCCGACCTTTATGATTTAGTCTGCTCATTTACAGTTCCTCCTTTGATCTGACAAAGTAACTGGGTTTCCATAACCAGAGTTCATTGAGTGTTGCTAATTATCTCTAATTCCCAAATGAAACACCTCCATGAATCACAATTCTTGGCAAGCAGCATAAGCTGACTGACTCCAGCTTTTCCACCTAGCAAGTCCACTGGCTGCACCATGATCTTACTTTTGCCACTACTGACCTCTTAAAGCAACAGGGCCCTAATCTGTTGAGTTCACTAGACTTCAAAGTGCTTCAACTGCATTTATCTGATTTTCTGTTGAACTTTAATTCGTAAAAATTATATGCCAAACCACAAACAAGTTATTTTAAACATATCCACTATTCACCAAATGGAATAGAAATCAGGTAAATTCCCTGATGGTGAAATCCTTCATCACATTAATTAATAATTTGGAAAACAGAACACAAGATCAAAAGTGAGCAACTGAAGTTTGAGAGAATGAGTTACTCCTTAAAATACTATTTTCTCTTAGAAATGCCTAAGAGATGTGTTTTAAGAAATCTATTAAAGGAGGAAAGCAAGGTAGAGAGACAAAAGGTTACAGGGGAGGTATTCCAGGCTGAAGACCTAGACAACTGAAGGCATAGCTACCAATCATAGAACAATTAAAATTGGGGTTGCTCAAGAGACCAGAGTTAGAGGAACACATATGTCAGCGAGTTGTGGGACTGGAGAAAATTACAGAGATAGGGTGAGGCCATGGAGGAATTTATGGGAAAATAATGGCAATGTCAATGGCCTAGTAGCTCAAGTAAACATTCTGGGAATATGGATTAAAATCCCACCTCAGCAGTTTGGTGAACTCAAATTAAAATAAATATGGAAAATAAAACCGGTCTCAGTAATAGACACTATGAAAATATCATTGATTATTGTTAAAAACTGCATCTGTTTTACTAATGCTGTTAAGGAAATCCGCTACCTTTATCCAGTCTGGCCCACAAGGGACTCCAGATCCACAGCAATATGGTTGAATCTTAACTATTCTGCAAGACACCTCACTTAAGTCCCAATAGGGATGGGCAAGAAAGTCTGTCCTTGCCAGTGATGCCAATATCCCATGAAAGAATAAAGAAATTGGAAACAAGGATTAGAATTTTAAAATCAAGACATTGCTTGACTGAGAGCCAAAGTAGGTCATGAATACAGGAACATGACTCGGTGTGAATTAAGACAAAGACAGTAGGGTTTTGAATGGCAGTAAGTTTACAGAAGGATGTGGGAGACCAACCAGGAGCATATTAGATTGGGGAAGTCTGGAGATAACAAGGTCATGAACTGAGGGTTGCAACAGCAGACACACTATGACATAGTAAAGTTGGGGGAGCTTTTGGAGGTGGAAATAAGTGGTTGAGTGATGGCACAAAATATGAAAATGGAATCTCACTTCTATGTTGAATGTGACATCATGGTGTAAAGAAACTTTCTTAATTTCACTCCTGTTGTCACGGAGTGGACATACTCAGTAGTTAGGGCATGGAATAAGGAGTACCAAAATCAATGGCTTTTTCTCATTTTTCATGGCTTTATTAAACTGCTTGCTCCTTTCAGTGCTGTGCATATTTATAGACCTAGATCTTTTTCACTCCTATGACTATGACTTAGGCTATGATTTTCCATGCAGTCTATGGGTTCCATATTCTTCCTATTAAAATATACACAAAGTTAGAATTATATAGCACAAAAATACACACTTTGGTCCAAGTCATCCATTCCTGTATACCTAACCTATCCATGTACCTCTCCAAATGTCATAGAGTAAGAGAGCATGGAAACAGGCCCTTTGGTCCAACTAGTCCAGGCCAACCATGTTCCCAAACTAAACTAGTCCTACTTGCCTGCTTTTGGCACATATCCCTCCAAACCATTCCTATTCATGTACTTATCCAAATGTTTTTTAAATGTTCTAACTGTACCTGCAACACTGTGGCATTTGATTCCACTCATGATCTGCTCAGTTTAAAAAAAAAACCTGACCCTCATGTCCCTTTTAAATCTTTCGCCTCTCACCTTAAACCTATGCCCTCTGGTTTTGTACTCTGCAACTGTGGGGAAAAGACCTTGGCTATTCACTTTATCTATACCCCTCATAATTTTATAAACCCCTAGAAGGTCACCCTGCAGCTTCCTACAACCACAAAATGAATTTGACAATTAAACACTCATTCTGCAAATATGTTAATTACTTCCTTTACTTCATTGCAGTCCTCCTCTGTATTATCTACTCTCCAATCTGATATTATCCACTTATTTTGAATTTGTACTTCTGAATGGAGTTGAAATATTTAACATCCATGTGAAGTATATAATGGTTCAAATACTAATCCTTGTCGAACACCACTTTCAACATTTCTGTCAGTCTTAACAAATTTAACATGAAGAGTAAATAAGGCTACCTGCAATTATATAGAACTTAGGTGAGACTTCAACTGGATTACTGTATAGTTTTTGATTTCATTACGGATGGATATACTTGCCTCAGTGGAACAATTCTGAAGTAGTATAGACCTGAAATGTTTCTCCCTCTGAAGAGGCTGGCAGATCTGCTGAATTTTGTCAGCCTTTCTGCTTTTAAGACTTCAGCATCCACAATATTTTGCTTTTATCCTAGAACCAGAGATTGTCTTTTGTGGAGAGATTGAATCAACTGAGCTTTTATTCCCTAGAGTTTAGAAGAACGTGTAAAATTCTTAAGGGGTTGACAGAATACATGTCAAGAGAATATTTCTCCTGGCCAGTGGAGTCTAGAACTAGGAGTTACAGTCTTACAATAATGTATGGCCAGTGAAGACTAAAATGAGATGAAATATTTCAATCAAAGGATTGTAAGTCTCTGGAATTCTCTAATCTGTAGAACTGTGAATAGTCAGTAACTGAGTTTATTTAAGACAAATAAGTTGTGTTTTGGATTCTAAAGGAATCAAGGGATATTGGATCAATTAAAAAGATGTATCTGAGATAGAATATCAGCCGAGATCTCACTGAAAGGTGTTGCAGTCTTGAAGGGCTACTTATGTTGTTATGTAAACATATATTTACACTACAGCACTTTGATTTTTTAGCTACCAGTACCTCCAAAACCTAATATAAATAGGCAAAAATTATCATTGCTTCTAATGTTTAAGAAATTTTAATTGAGCCTTGACTTGTGTCAGTATTTCAATGCTACCTTCCAGCAGTTTGAAAGCAACCATATTGTTCAGAGCTGCATTTTTTTCTTCTTTAGCGTTAGTTTACTAATGACAAAGTTGTGCTTCCTCATATTCTTCAGAGGCAGGAGAGATGTGATCTGTCAGTTTGATTTGCTTATGAAAGAGATCCAGAGAGCCGAAGATGGCTTATGCTATATTTGGGGTTTACTAGTAAAATAAGTGGTATGTTAACACTCCTGCGAAGTGCTTTGCCAACGTCTTACTGCATTAAAAGGTGCTATGCAAATGAAATACAATATCAAGCTGTTGCCAGCACCCTGCCAATACCTGCCTGAGTATTTCTGTGTAAGTGGAAGCATAAAACTAGATTTTGAAAGGTTAAATAAATAGATTTAAATATAGGCACACATGAAGTCCTGTATCTTGAACCCAAAAAGTATAGATCAAGTTAATTAATAATTGATGTGAAGCTATGCACAGTAAAAAGGTCCAAAGAAACATGAAGGTCCATGTACAAAGATCATTAAAATGTCATGAACAGGCACAGAAAATAAGAAAAGGTTAATGAAATTCGGGCCTTTAAAGAATTAGAATACAAGATGGGAGAAGTCATGCTTCAGTTATACAAATCTGCAGTAGAATTATTGTATCAGAGATAGTAGGAACTGCAGATGCTGGAAATCTGAGATAACAAGGTGTAGAGCTGGATGAACACAGCAGGCCAAGCAGCATC